TACTACTATGACGACCGCGACTACGACGACAACGACGACTACGACTACGACTACGACGACGACGACGACTACTACTACTGCTGCTGCTGCTGCTGCTGCTGCTGCTGCTGCTGCTGCTGCTATTACTACCACTACTACTAGGACTACTACTACTGCTTACTATCTGCTACTCCTGCTACTACTGCTACCGTGCGACATTTACAACGACGGCTACTGCCACCACGGACCGCCGCGTTTAATTCTGTTTGTGCGCGTCGTCGTGGTTACTGTCGTAGTTTATTGATGGTGCTTGCTGCCTGCCTTTCTGCTTTGCACCGCCACGTCAAGGTCTCCGAAGCGTGGTCGAGGGCTGCTGCTGGCTTCTTGCACTGTATGCAGGAGCTCACGGAGGCCTCCCACAGGCAGTGGCTGTTGATTAGAAAGTATGCTGCTGTGGAGAACAGCTTCATGATACCACGATGGAATTTTGCTTGGGAAGCGAATGGGGGAGTGGCCGGCGAAGGGGATGCCAAGCATCCATCACATCGAGCTTATGCCTTGCTCCAACTGCTGAGAAAAATGTCGAGTTCGCGCCCGGATGAGCCGCTGCTCATGGTTGAGCTGGGTGTCTGCTTGGCCGGGACTTCAGAAGCACTATTGAAGCGAATGCCTGGCTTGCGGATTATTCTCGTTGATCGGGTCATATTTCCCGTGGCCAAGCAGCGGATGCAGCCTTATGCAAATCGCACCACATGGATCAATGACCTCAGTACGGCGGCGTCAAGCAAGGCCGGCTCAGATCTCCTCCAGTGCGACAGGGTGTTTCGAGAGTTTTGGGCCTGCTCATTGTAATCAGCTTGGAGGAGTTATCGCTGAAACTTTGACATGAGTGTGCATGTCCGCACATTTCGGTAAGGGCCAATGCTGATGACAAAGCACATCAAAGAACGACTTGCTCACCAAAGTCAGGGAGTCTCAGGTGCCCATGCAGACTCAGGCTTTGAAGCCGCAAGCTGCTCTCAATTATGAACAAAGTTGCTAGATGCCAACTGTCTGAGTCAATGACGGGACCAAACTGCGAGATCCATCCCGCGCAGAAAGCTCTTCAAAGCAGTACGCTCAGGTGGCAGATGGATCTGCAGACATCGTCTTCATAGACGCAGCCCACGATTACAAGTCTGTCCAGGTGCTGGTTTGTGCTGCGGGATGTGAGTTCAGTTCAGTCTCCGCATGCAAGCGAACGCCGGCCAGTCTGGAGAAGAGTGCTTTTTGTGCATAGGAGAGGTCGGTGTCGAGACGCGATAGCTCCATGCTAAAATCTCGTGGCGAAATTTATGCGATGGAGGCCTCCTAGTACCCACGAGGATGCTGGATGCTTCGCGGAGGCTGGAGTTGAAGTTTGCTGGTTTCTTCCGTCAGGAAGACCTCCGTCATTGGGCTTCCAAAGTTCGTCCTGGGGGCATCCTCGCCGGCCACGACTACCTCGCCGCCGCACCAGGCTTTCCGTGCAAGGATGTTCTAGGGTTCAAGCTAGTCAGGAACACCGCCGTTCTGCCTGTGGAGGCTTTCCAACGTTTGATGTAGTGAGGGTGCTTTCTTCCCAGGAGCTCAAGTCAGAGTGGTCGTTTCCTGTCTCCTGCGTCCATGCAGGTCGTCTCGTTTGTCGGTTTTTTCGTTGCTCTGTCTCTGCGTGTGTGTGTGTGTGTGTGTGTATGTGTGTGTGTGTGTGTGCGTGTGTGTGTATGTGTGTCTCCGTGAGGTCATGTCTGAAGTCGGAGCAGACCTCATCTGCATTGCTTTCACGATCATGAGCCCGCCCGCCCGCCCGTTCTTTGCGACCCGACTTTGGAACTCAAACAGACACAAAGAGCGTCGAACTGCGAAGAGGCTAAGCTGCTGGTTCAACCTTGTCGGGGTAGGAACTCTCGGGAAAGTGTTCGGCAAGGAGGATTATTCTCAAGCAAACAGCGGAGTGTCCGAGGGAAGGCGCTTCCGATTCCAATGCTTTGACCAATCTCCAGTCTCCGGATGAATATGCGCAGCATTTGCCGTCTGCGTCACTTCGTGGCACATCCGTTTTTTGAATCATTTTGAATCCAGCTGCCAAGTGCGGCCTCTAGGGAGAACCGCCCTGCCAATCTGCAGAAGCTTGTTTGATTAGCACTGGTTTCAAAACACATTTCTGCCTCACAGCAGGATTTTAGTTCAAGGTCTTCGCCACATGCGATTGTAGTGAAGATATGAGGATCGATCGACTTGCCTGCCAAGATCTCCGCACTCGGTTCTTGCACGAATCCCTGTGCCTCGTTCTTGGCACGTGACCATCCCATGGATTTGGGGTTTGGGGCTGGTGCCGGCGGAGGGACCAAAATACTCACTTTTCGTAGGAGTTCATCTTCCGATGGATAGTTGAGACGTGTTGCAGGGGTCGTAAGTGCTGTGAACGAGTTCGTGCTGAAGCATGATGCGCTGCTTTGGCTCCTTGACTGGATTGGGATTCGGAAGAAAGACGCCGGCTCTCAGTGCACTTCTTTTCTAAAAGGTGGATGTAGATTCAGGCTTCAATGTACAGCGACAGCTTCTGCACACGATCGTTTTGCCGTGTTTGACCGCCATCCCACGACTATACAACAGGTTGACCAGAGACAGCTGGTGGCTGCATCGCACTGAACATTCCTGGAAAAGATCGTGCACTGCGAGCTTCAGGGTAGCGTGTGACCCCTGCGTGCCACAGGTAGACAGTGGCAATCTCAAAGCGGCTTGGATGGTAGTTGCCTGGTGAGGCCAAGACACAGCTCCCAAACCCAACCTCGGGCAACAGTGTAAAGTAAACCCAGACCTAGCTAAACAAAATCATTGCAAGGGCATAGAGCCGGTAGCTTCGCTTGCCCCCAAGAATGCTGGAGACGCCTTGTTTCGGGAATCAGTGGAGTTTGATGGCTCGGTTGGAAGTTCGATCTGTTTTGATTTTCGAAGGTGTTACAGAGAGAGGGGGGGGCTTTCAGGCTTTGAAGCACAGGAGTTCCAAGGTCCAAGTCAGGACTTGGCACAAGCACGAGCTTGCGTGGATCCGCCAGATTTTGATCAGCTCAACCTGTTGGGGTTCACTGGTCCTTTTTTCAGCTGTGGCCGGCTGCTTGCGCTCGACATGTCGAAGCCGCGACAGCCAAATGACGCCATGGCGGCCCCCATCGCCCCCATTGTTCTCGATGAGGACGCAGATCCGACAATAACCCGGCATTGCAGCCTCCTGATAGTCACTCCCGACCAGGACACGTGGACCTGCGACAACCCCAACATCGTGATGGTGAAGATGCCCGAAATGTCCCACATTCCGGAGGGAGAGCGCCCGGTTGTCATGCTGAAATTGCCTGATGGCACCATGGCAGACATACAGACGATGAGCCTTAGCTACACTTTGTTGTGTGGGCTGTGAACCCTGGCAAAGTTTTCCAAGAGCCCTCTTGACTCAGGAACCTTCCGAGCAATGTCAAAACGCTGCTCAGCGACATCGACATGGACCGAGACTTGCCCAGGAGATCTCGACAGGCTTTAGGGAGGGCGGTTAGCAGTTTATCATGAAGAGGTTAGGGTTTAGGGCTTGAGGGTGTGAAAATATTAGGGTTTAAGGTTGCGTCACTACGAAGCCAAAAGCCTCCGGGTAGTGACCCAGGTATGTCCCAGTGACCTTTGGTCTTTGAGTTGGGTCGCTTCGGGTTTTCCTTGTCGGAAAGGGCTTCCGAGTCAGCGTGCAAAAGAGTACCCAGCAGGACGCAGAGTTGATTGTCTGTGAGCCCTTTGTGTGTGTGGGTGTCCGAAGTCCACACTAGCTAGGAAACGGAGTGGTGGATGACCCGAATGTGGATCACGTGGCTCCCCGGCTGTCGTTGCACCTTCAGGCTCAGGGTGTGCAACGGAAGCTTGGGACCGACTTTACGCCTTGAAACTGCATCCAAGGGAATGCATTCCAAGCCTTCGTTCGCCAAGTTTTTCTCTGTGTTTCGCTCACCTACTTGGCGACTGCCCATCAACCCTTCAGGATTCCTGTCGGTGCTCGGGGCCTGCGGCTCACTTAGGGCTCGCACGAATGCCTAAAATCTTTGCCTGGACAGTCTGTGGCACAAGAGCAGCTAGGTTAAGATGCTGGAGATGATGCGCGAGGAATTCGGCTGTGAGAAGGGCCACGTGGCACAAGCAGAGATGGACAAAGCGCTGATACTGCTCCTTGCTCGCGCTTGCAGTTGCACGATGTTGCACGGTCCTTCTGATAGCTTAGAGTCTACATCCTGATGGTCTTACAGAGAGCAGATGCCACTGGCTTCGGACTGGGAGCAGGATCTATGTGCCCCCTCCTAGTTTCATGGTTCAGCAGTTGCAAGTCTGAGCGAATCTGGGTTCTTCAGAAGACCACCAAGTCAGCGATCTCTTGGATCGTAGCCGCGAGACTTGTTTGAAGGTCAACTGCCAACCAAGGATGTCGAATCTCTTGCGCCAGAAGCGCGAGAACTCGGCAGATATGAGCCGCTCAGCATCTCTGGCGTCAGATCTCCTGCAATCCCTAAAGCTCACACCGACATCTCAAAGCTAACAATCCGCAGCTCCCTCAGGGCTTCAGATCTGCGTGATGTGCCTCCTCGGAAAACAGGCTTCCGCAGTAGCAGTGTAGTCAACCTTTCTACACGACGGAGATCGTCGCCTGTTTCAAGCCTCGAGCTGCCAAGCCCCGCAAACAGAGCCTCCATGCGCAGCCAGTCTTTAGCTCCAGATCCGGGTTCTGGCAATCGGTTGCATAGGTCCTGCATCTCGTTTCATTTTTTTCACTTCGTGTGCACCCAAGAACCATTTGCTTGTTTGTTACGGCCGCAGTGCAGCCCAAGGCTATCGCCATCTGAGCCCCTGCATTCAGGCTTGGACAGTAGCAAGCATTGTTTGATCAAAGCACTCGTGGCGATGCAGGACGTGATGAAGGAGTGGGATATGGACGGTGACGGCACGGTGGCTCTTCATGAGCTCACAGAGGCTCCCGTTCCCGAGTTTATGTTGGATTACGGAGGTTCTCAATGCTCCAAGCTCGACAAAGTCGGGCTCAGAAGAAGCAAGGTCGGCCGTCAGCTTCGCATGGGGTTCAGCTGAGCTTGCGAAGGCCGCCCACGCCTACAAGAAGGTCAAGAAGGAAGGCTGGGATCCACGCTTGGGCTCTTACTGCAGGTTCTGACATGTACAGGGCAAGGCGCAGATGAGGATTTGGTTGGTCTCTTCTAGATTTCAATGTCTAGAAGAACACACTACTCTTTGCAAAGCTTCGTGGTTCTATGGTGTCAAAGATTGCTGTTGCGAATTTCTCGAGACATCCCTCTTCCGAACATGTCCAGGCCGTCGGATGAGGAAGATGATCATCGGCCTTTGCTGCGTCATCGGTGTGCTGCTGGCGGGGTTTCTTGGGTCAAGAGGGATGGGTACAGACCCCCTAACCCTACGCCTCTACACAAGAAATCTTGTTTCAGGGCATCAAAGCCTGGAAGCGGTTTCTGGGTGGCGAGGCTTGTTGTCGTAGGAGGACGGGTTGAAAAGGCTTTGCCGCTTTGCTTCGACACCCTGTTTCCAGCTTGTGGACCTCAAGAGCCTTGCTGGTATCAACGGAGTATGTCTTGGAGAGGACGGCAGTATCCAGAGTGAAAGCTTCCGGCGGCCTGACACTCTTGACAGTTCCCCTTGCTAGATTCGAAGCCCTTCCGGCCAGGCTTCTGTTGAATTGAAGTACAGTAAAGCTACTCTTAATCACAAAAAGGTGGTGGTCAAACGCCCCTAAGGATGTTCGTGCTCTCCTATGTGGCGGCAGACATGGCGAAGGAGAAACTGCTAAAACCGCAGTTGTTTCAGACTCGTGGGTCTAGCTGCTTAATGGCGTAGCTGCAGCAGGTTTGGTCTAGACTCTCCAGAAGAGATTGCTGTCTTCGCAGCGTGCTCCCCAACATGCAGGAGATGCGCAGCAGTGGCGACGGAGTGATGCGCGCACAGGGCGAGGTGGTGAAGGCGTTTCGGTCGGTCAAACCGAAGCTGAAATGGTGGCAGGACAGATGTAAGCTAGCAAAACCCTTTTCCTTATCAGCCGCACGCACTGCAACCCGTTGACTTCGGGCTTGTGGCTCTCAGAATCATGGACTGTCGGGTTGGGTTGTGGGGTTGATTCTCGGGAAGCCCGACAGGGGCCTGGAAAAAGCAAGAAGCCACAGATGTCAGCGAGTCGACAAGTACTCCTGAAGCCAGGCCCTGTCAGTATGATTTGGTAGTCGTCCCTCCACGGCGTCGTGTAGTTGCCAGACAGAGAGAACTACAAACCAGAAAGGGCTGTCGGCCATGCAGTGTGTCGAAACGAAGGATGGGACTGGGACATAGGTTTCGAGAATCTGCAGAAGATGAGCCGAAGAGGAGAGACCTCCACCTTTTAGGATTTCCTTGACTGCATCGGATGAAATGAGGCCGAGCGACACCCCAAGGAAACCCGGCCTGAAGCCTTGAAATCATTTTCCAAGATGTCACTCGACAGTCGTTCACGAGTCGTTCACCAGGATGTCGAAGTCCGG